TCAATATGACCTCGTTGGCGATATGACCGACGTCGCTAACTAGTGTCGACTCCTCCCAGTATCTTGTGCAGTCCAGCTCGAAGGTGGTCGAGGCCGTGTCTGGATACCGGAGAAGCGGAAGAAGCTCAATGTGCTCCTCGCTCTCGATGTACACCCTGACGTATCTCAGGCAAGGAAGTTCTACGCTTGGCGGATTCCTCGAGTCATCGATGCCGCTCCAGAAGCGAACGTTCAGGGTAAGATTTTCTAGATGAGGAGCCGCCCGTAGTGCCGCGAGGACGTCACTTTTTCGCGTAGGTTCTTCATCTCTGATGACAAGCGTCTTCAGGCTCGGACCTATGAGTGGCTGGATGGCAGATAGGTCGAATCCATTTGTGCGAAGCTCCTGCAACTTCGGGACCATGAACGGTATTGTGGCATGGGTATACCAAAACGTAGGCATAGTCACAACCAGAGACTCCAGCTGGTCAAACATCCAAAGCTTCGGGTTGCCATGGCAGAGCGACAGCCACATTTCCATAGGCATGGCGAGGTCCAACGCCCTGATGCGCGAGGACTCCCCCTTCAGCACCCTTAGAATCCCTTCGCATGTTGCTTCGCCGTACCCGTAGAAGCAGGCTTTGATAGCCGGCTTCTGCGCGCGACGGGGATTCAACATGTATTGTGTGACGTCTTCGTTAGTGGCTCTGATCTCGTTCCAGATACTCGACTTGTTTTGCAGGAGGTTGCGCCAGGTGCCACAAACGTGGAGATACCTCATCCAGGATTGTGGCGAGTGTCCATCTTTCTCTGCTGCGGCCTTCTCTTCCGCAACGGCAAGCACCAGAATTGCGATCATGGTCTCTGCTGGAAGACGGCTGATTGTTGCCAACCTGTAGGAATTCTGTGGCCGTAATTAAGAGTAGGTGTGTGAGATAGAAATTATGAAATAGGCTGGTGGATGACTGACCTGTTGTTGCAAGACCGCAGGTATTGTCGGACTTCTTGATACTCGAGACATCGCCTGTGATGTCGAACGGGAAGAGGACAGCACGGAATCTCTCGTAGGTTGCAAGCGCCGCTCAGGTGTCAAGCGCATGTCAAGTTGAAGATGTGGCTAAGCTACTCAACGCCGTGTTTGCATTTGTTAGACGCTTGATGGGTGGCGTCTCCTACGTTTCTCTGTGGCACGCATGATGTCCATCGTTAGGCTTGGATAATCGCAGCGTATAGACGAGAGATGTGAGGAGAACCCACCTTCTTCTGCCGGTGTCCTGTGCTAAAATACATACGTTAGGTCCCTCTGGGCAGACACTGTAAAATTGTGCAAATTAGCGTGAAGCGGAAGTCGCTCCGAAGGACAGAAAGGTATTGTCTCATTTGCGGAATAATGTATGAGAGACAACGATGTGTAATCCACCATTAGCTATCATAATGAGCTAAGACTTCATAGCAGGATACATCTGCATGTGCTGTCGAGTCCTTCACGAAGCTGGAAGTAACCGGGTACAATGAGAGTGCGTTGCCTTCCGCAGCTAACTACTCGCCTTTGGTCGCTGAGTGGTTCTCTTTGGCATACTTACACCCGTTTTAAGCGTAAAGTCCTTGACATAGCCTACATGGTGTCCCCTAGCAATCACCAGTCATCGCAGTCGGGACCTTCAACAGAAGGAACGGTAGTGATGGCATATCAGAACCGTCTAGTGATGAGAGCGCTCCTCGTTTCGGTACTGATGGCTATTCTCGTCCTTTCTTACCCTCGTTATGGCAAAGGAGGCACTTGGCGAGTCATCAAACTCTGTAATTACTGGGTTCAGTCGATTCATAAGAGTATGAGATCACTGCACATCACAGGCAAGCTTTGTCCACTTCCTTCTGACACACGATATGCCGACTAAAGGTACAACAGTGTACAATAAAACCCGCAATTCGCGTCCCCATCCTACCCGCTCATTCGTCGAACTCTTCCGGGTCTTTTTCACTGTCGTACCCCGCCAACCTGTTGGATACCATACTCCGAACCTCATCGAATAGCATCTGGTTGAGTACTTCGGTCGCGCGGGAGTTCGCCTCTGCCTCTTTGAGGACCTCCCATTTGATTACCCTGGGCATGGCTCGAAATAGTACCTTCCATGAATCCAGACTGGCTGTCGAGCGGACCGCCAGTTCTTCGAATGAGAGGTTCTCAATGGCGGCGAAAGAAGGGCCAAAATATTCGGCGAGCTTATCCATAATTCCGGCCTCTTCCTCAACTTGATAGTGGAGAAGTGTCATCGAGAATTGTGGCCACTGTGCTATTGCGACCTGTGGCAGCCTTGAAAAGCTGATCAGTAATCCTTTGGGCTTCAGGGTACGGAAAGTACAATGGCAAAGGTCGTGCTTCCCTATGACCTCATTAGCGGTTCGACTCAGCCCTTCAATTAGTTCAGACGTCGACCAGTCATATGGCACTAAGTGAAAAGCCTGGAAAGTCGAATCGGGATAGTGGAGAGAGGCAAGAAGCTCGATATGCTTCGTGCTGAAGATAAAAAAGTCCAAGTTTGTCAAGGATGGGAGTCTCGCCATCTGTGCAATCCCGCCGTCGTCCATGTCCTCTTCCAAACAAAACATCATGGCCAGCTTCTCCACCCTTGGAACAGCCTGCAAAACTGCCATGATATCTGCCATTTGTGTGAAATCGAAACAATGGATGGCCAGCGTTCTTAGGCTTGGAGAAAGTGCTTGCTGGACTGCCGCCGGCACGAACCCTTCAGAACGCAGGTGTTTCAGATCCGGAGCGAGGAATGGCAAATGGGTGGGACTGCCCTCCATCATCGGCGCCTCGATCCGCAGGAAATCCAAGCGCTCGAAGGTCCAAGGCACGGCACACTGTCCCAGGCATTGCCACATCTCTCCAGGCATGACAAGCTTCAAGGATCTGATATGCGACGACTCTTTCTTCAACACCCTTAGAACCTTGTCGCCTGTGCCGCCTACATCCACGTCGCAGTGTTCATGGAAGTCAGCTGTTACTGCTGGATTTCGAGCTCGACCCCGAGTCAGCATGTATTCCGCCACTTCCGAGTTCGTGGCCTCGATGTCATCCCAGATGGTCGACACAGTATGTAGTAGATCCCGCCATGTCCCACAGATGTGGAGATATTTCATCCACGAATGTGGCGAGCGTCCCTCCGCCTTCGCAGCGGCCTTCTCCTCTGCAATAGCATGGACGAGGATCATGACCATGATTTCCGCCGGGAGAGAAACGGTCGAGGAAGACCTGTACGAGTCCTGCGTAGATTATAGAGGGAAATGTGGAGACGGACGAGTGGCGGCATACGCACCTGGAGTTGGGATAACATGGGCATGGTTAGGTAAATCAGTAGCCTTTCTGTCGAAGTGTCGTCGCTGCTTGTTAAAGAGTAAGATAGTTTTACTGAAACGGTGTAAGTGAGGAGCAGAAACAGCACTGAGATGGTATAAGCGAGATGCCAAGCGCTGCCACCTGTGGCGCGTTGATTGAATGTAGTTGTGGCAATCATCACGGCGCTTACGCTGGTTGAACCTTCCGCGCTTGGGCGAGTGGCTTGTCATAGCCCACCACACGCAGAATTATTATGTTCCGTTGGGATTTGACCCTACCAAGATCTGAGATCTGAGTCTGTTACCTAGGCCTTATCGTCTTCAGTTGGTGATCCGGAGTTCCCTGTGGGCGCCATTAGACCACTTCATCATGAAGTCATTACTTGGTCTCAAATTCTTATACGATTGTGTTCCTCATTGTACTGCACGACTGGAAAGCGCTGGAAAAATGTATGAGAGCACTTGTGGGAGGAACGGATTACGGGTTGATCCTGAGCCACTCGTAACTTCGCCGTCGAAATGAGCACTCCGAGTCTGTCATGTGTCGTGTAGTGTTAACCATGACCAACAGCTGATATCTGAGGCCTGAGATATCGCATAGGGCCCGTCTGGCATTGCGGGAGGCTGCAGAGATTTTCGGGACGATGTTTGTGTTGTGACTTTGTGGCAAATGCGTCCTTCAAAGTGCTCGGAAAATGCCGTCTCTCCTATTATCGTCCACCATCTGATTATATCGAAGTCTTCACTGTCATCTCGAGATTTGTTAACTTTTCTGCAAGTTCTTGTATACTTAGAAGTCGTCGACCACACTGGGAAAAGACCGCTCTGATCTGAACATCTCCAAGTCTCCAGACCAGACGAACAGCAATGCCTATGCTCCCATGACGTTAAATGCAATCTTCAAAACGTCCCTGCAGCAACGGCATATCCTCAAATCAGACATATTTTCTGTCATTTATTTCTTATCGTATGTCCACCAGTGTCAGTGCGACTTGGGTGGTGTACGGTTTCTCTTGGTTCCCAAGCAAGAAATTGGAGAGATGTATCTTCTGATTGACGGGTACAAGATACTACCAAGGCTCCGGTCACCATGTCCTCAATCGCTCACTCCATAACACCCTGCTGCTCACTTTCCATGTCATGCTCTTTACACGTACGCACCAGTTCACCTCCCTCGGTGATTGTCTGACCATCACATTCTTCGTCCCAGGTAACTTCCCGAAAGAATAAACGCAACGTGTCAACATACTCTTTGAAGACGTTGATCCCGTTGGTTATAGTAAGATTATTTAGGGTTTGTTTCGCATTGCCGCGATACTCAAATGATCTTAGCAGGTTTGCTAAGAATCCGTGGTCATCGTCCACCTCGGGGTCATCCCGGAACCACACCCAGTCAAGCTCAAGAGAGCTCAGTCTGTAGAAGACGGGACACCACATCTCCAACACATTATTGTATTGGAACAGTCCGGATGGAAATGCCTGTGCTCCTTCTCCCGTCAAGCGAAGGTGCTCCACACCGGGCAGATGGGAGAACAGAATTCTCCAGGCCTCCAGTGCTGCAGCTGAGTACAGAAAGTCTTGGGTATTGTCATCCTCAAGCCGATCCTCCAGATTGACTTGTGTAATGCGACAAAGAGTTGATCCGAGCCTGTCCGCCACGAGCGAAAGGATTATGTCTTCGCGCCCCTCCTTAACGTTGTCGAAGACGAGACGCACGCCTCTTTCTGGCAGCACTGTTCCACGGGTGTAGAGCTCATCCGTCAAGAAGAGCTCCATCCTTCGCCGACCCCGCTGATGAAGTGTACAGGCCTTGTATCCGCGAGCCACCGCATTAGTGTTTACCAAGGCCTCCACACCCGCCATGATTCCGGACATTGCCCAGTCGTCCGCTGGTGACAAGAGCATAATATCGATCCAGTCCAGCATCGGTGCGTCGATAAATAACACAAATTGACCTTCGGCGGCGCTGGTGAGGTACAAGTTCAGCGTCTTCAGTTCCGGAAGTACTGCTCTCTGTACGAGCGCTCCTTGGTAGCTCAGAGAACACCAGATCGACAGATCAGCAAGTTTGGGGTCTGCTGCAGCATGCAAATTGCGTCCGTCGTAGAGATGACCTTGTCGCCTTGGAGATGAAGGTGGGTTGTCGAGCTACTTAGGAGTGGCCTGAGTGCGTTGAACCCAAAGTGGTCCAGGAAGACTTTACAAATTGCTGGAGACGCGAAAGGGAGGAGGAGCATACTTTCATCCTCGTCGTCTAGATCAGTAGTCGGGCGTGCAAGCGTGAGATCCTCCCACATCCTCATCCCATGCTTCCCACAAATGCGTATGTGACTGGCCCAAGCTCGCAGCAAGGCTGTAGACACGGTGAGTTCCAACTTTTGGATGTTGCACGGGTTTTCCATAATTCTCGAGAAGATCTTGCACTCAGTCTTGAAGTTATTCCGAGTCAAATCACCCCGTACTGTCACCGGAGTACCGTACTTCCGACATAGGGACATTAAACCTCTTGTTGCTCGAGGTGTGGTGGCGATTATCGGCTGGATGAGTCTGTAATTAGAAAGAATGGTGTCCCGCCAACGGGTATTGACTTGGGTCAGTTTGAACCACTCGTTCATCTGTGGCTCCGCACCATTTGTGGCCTGCCTCATATCCGCAAGGACCATAGACAGTATTATGGTAAGTATCTCGGTTGGCAAGTCCTCTATGGGTGACAGTGAAGTGGCATTGCTGTAGGGCTGCAATCTAGCGCTTCCCATGGTTTGCATGGCTTTCCTGAGAGCTTTTGTAAGATGTGGCTCGCTTAGACGCCAGGATGGAACTTACGGGTCTGTTGATGTGGCGAGGTTCCAATCAAGTTACTGGGACTAGTTATTATACTGCAGGACACAAAGTACCTGTCTGAGTCACAGATGGACGTCTCTGCAGGTAAGCAGGAGGGATTTTGAACAAACAAGTCCGGGCCGTGTTTGGCCATATTTACCTTTGGAGGCTCTCGCGCCACACGTGTGGCAGCGTATAGTGTGCATGAAATGGCGGGAGGAGCCCAGGACGCCTTCGTATCACCAATCACATTTTCAGCTATGCGTGTCTCCTATTTTACATGATATGGAAAATCTCAGGGCCTCGGTGCCACGCTCTATACGAGACAATCCAGCGTGGTTGCATTGTTTGCACAGTCTCTACCGGTACTTGCCTCCACAAGAGATACGTACTAGCACAAAGAATACATTCAAGGAGCTACGGAAGAATTTGTTCCTACTAAGTTTGACTTGCAGCATCTATCACCCGTTTGTGGGCAGCAGCCACCACCGCGGTGAGCCCAGATTCCTGTACATATCTCTCGTGCTCGTCCCATACTTTCTTGATTGCAGGTCGCTCCGATACCCTCTTGTACCAAGCATGGACATGAGGTGCCTCTTTCTCAGCATTGTATGACCCCGGGGAAAATAGGACTTTTAAGGCGATGTCATGCCAAGGGAATAGAGCCTTCAAGCGGCGAAGTGAGAAACCATGAGGAGGCGGAAGGGCGGGTGGACAGACTTACAATGTCGATGATGCCGAACTTGCCTCCTACAAGCCACTCTTGTTTGCTCAATACTGATTCGAGCACATTGATAACTCGCTGAGCTTCATCTTGGTAGCGTTTGACAGCGGTCGGTAGCCTGTGACAGAGATGTCCGAGTCATAAATCAGGTCGCACGGGGACTTCGGAGAAGTTATACTTACACGGCCGGATGGCTGAACAAGAAATGATTACCCTAAAAGAGCGATTTGAATATTCGTTGACCACCTGTAAGATTCGTAATCACCTGCCCAAAGTAAGGGCCTTGGCCGGAAGCTTGGAAGAACAGCCATTGCAGCTGGAGAAACTTGCAGTCATCGTAGTTTTATTAACTCTCACATACTTGCAATTGAGTATATTGGACGGTCATACCTTATCGTTTGCGTCAGGCAAAGCAAATTTTCCATCTTTATCGTATTTTTCAACCAGATACAGGAGGATGGCGTCTGACTCCCATACGGCGAAGTCATCATTTCTATTACCTTTTGGGGTTAACAGTGAGATGTCTGACAGAAGCAAACGACAGACCCGTGATCGACCAATGTAGGGATACGTCCGTTAGGATTCAGTTCGATATGAGGAGCTTGCTTGTGCTCTTTCTTGTCAAACTCAAGGAACTTGACATCGGTCTCGTTCGATAAACCAAGCTCCTCGAGCAACATCGAGACCTTCCACCCATTAGGGCCCAGCTGCATCGGAGTCGGTACTCAGAACTCATTGAGGCTTGACGGAACACGTACCTTGTGAGTGTATAGCGTGAACCGCTTGTCTGAGGGCATCATGCAAGTGCGAAGTCGGTGGGGTACAATTGCCTACACACGGTGGGTTTTAACATGTTTGCGGCAGTCGCTTGGTAAGCTCATCGAGTGATCAGTTTCTACATTACCCAGGACCGGAAATCTCGGCCAGTGCTGATTAACCGCTTTGAAATCTATGTCACTTACGTACGTGTTTGGCTCGGAGGAAATGGTGTACGTGGATTTTACGATTATCCAAATGAATGCCGGCACTGCTGCTCGTTTCTCTCGAGCACCTCTTGTCTGAGCTACTGCAGCGACCTTCTCATTTCCTTCCGAAACGTCCGTTTTTACGTGAAAGCAAAATTTCACTGCGGCAATTTGAGGAAATTAAAACAGTCAGCATATGTTGAAGTGTGGGTTGTGGGCGTACAGCTCGTCCGCCTATATCAGTGCCATTGCTTCTGGGTTCGGCGGATATATAGGGCAGGCATCATTCACTCGGGCAGTGGCATTCGGGGCTACTCACCATTTCACAGTATCATCATCTTGAATAGGATGGTATCGTTATCCGACGATAGAACAATCAAGTTGATCCGCTCTAGCCCACGCGGAGATAAAGGTCAGGAATTCCCCGTGAGCAGCACTGGCAAAGCGCACAGTGGGCCCGAGAAGCACTGCCGTCTGGGCAACGGCAGCTGCTGGATTATCGGCCGTCAACGCTACTTGAGGGGCCGAGAGATTTGAATTCCAGAGGTAGGGAGTTCACCGGAGCAACACCTAATCACGTAGGTCACAGTTATCGTGATCAAGGGACGATTTCTGCAGACTTGGGAAGATGAATAATGCGGACAGCATTCTCTCGTTATTGTCTCCTTCGTCTCTGTGGTATTCGAGCTCCTGCAATTGGTATACCGTACACCTCAGGTTCCCCGGTGTCGGCGGCCATTTTGGAAACCTGTCTATCCACGCCGATGAAGAATATTTGTTACTGGACTTTGCTCGGGCCTGCATGGCTGTTTTCTATGCTCTATCCGGATGTGAAGCAATGCTGCTTGAGAATTGTGACGGAAGAGTACTCACAATCCGTTGCCCGCCATAATATCACCACGGATGAGTGAGGTGCTTGAACATACCCAGGCCCGCAGAGTTTGGCTATAGTACACATCACATAGCGACCTTGAATACCCCCTTTGCGGCGACACTGTAATCTATAGACGTCTGTCACATTCGTCCCGGGTTTGGGAACAGTTTCTCAAGCAAAAGAAATTAGGTCGCCTTCTGTCACGCGCATGGGATCGCTCAGAGGAGACGTGAAGAATACAACGTCGACGCGGCCCACAAGAAGCTGCAATATCCCGGTGCTACACACAAGCTTAAGTACCAGATACCCGAGACAGACTTACTCCAAAGACCACGACTCAATCTTCTAGCCTCGCTTTCACCGGGGACAGCCCGAACGTCCTCCAAAACTCCCTCCCATCCAGCGCCCGCCCGATCTGCTCAGGGCTCCTCGGCAACGCCTTGATACCGTCTTCCTCCATCAGCTCCTGCACCCATCCAGGCTGCGGCCCGCTCCGGGACTCCCCCTTTTCGGAGAGGCCGCCGGACCCCCATGCGGACGCGAGGTCCCACCAGTCGTACACGCGCTCGTCGGTGAGGAGCCAGCGCTCGCCTGCGGCCTTGGAAAACTGGGAGTGGACTGCCAAGATTGCCCGGGCGACGTCGAGGCCGTGGATCAGGTGGATGCTGCCCTGTATATCGGTTGAGCATGCGTATATGGTGATAACAGTGTTATAGCGTACCTTAGCCTTGAGGGCTTCCTTCGTAGGGGCAACACGGTTCACCCAGTTCCGCGGGTGTCTGCGCCCGCCCCAAAGACCGCACAGGTTGAGGACTGTCGTTGGCGTATCGGGCGAAAGGGTTAGCAGCTCTGTCTCGGCCTGTGCACGAGGGTTGGAGCAGTCGAATGGAGAGTGCCTGTCATGCCAGACAGTTTTCAATTGAGTTTCTGCAGTATGTACTTGTGTATCGGACTTCAGAGTAGGTCCTTTCTAGAAGACGATGATTATAAAGTGCGGTAGGTGAATGGCAGCACGTACGTCCCATATCCCTGTCGACCCCAGTTGAATGAACCCCGTTCTCGTCTCATCATGCGTCTTCTGATAGTTCCTGACTAATCTCTCCGATCCCCAGCTGTTTCGAATTGGGAAGACGACCAGCACAGTATATCAGCGTGGGGCAACGACGAGAACGGTGTTGTGTCGTCAGACTCGGGATCGAATATGAATGGTATAGTGCCTTCGCAACCATCCCGGGTAGTCGCTGCGGACGAGATTTGTCGCTCACTGCATAGTGGGATGAGAAACATCGAGGTCCAACCGGCGCCCAAAATGAGAAGGTCGACTTTGTCCGATGGCATGATGAAGCGGTCATCGTAGCACTGTCAGACACTTCCAGGCTTCGAAAGTTATGTTGCGGTCCTTAAGATTACGTCGCTTTCAGGTTTAAGTCCTCTGAGGGCATTAGAGATGCTATCTCAAGCTTGGACCTCCCACGCCCGCAGAAGACTTCAGCCTTACGATCGACTACAAGAGAACGCATAACAAACAGAAGCTTATAGTAGATGAGAGTTAATTACTAGAGCGCTGGCAATACCAGAGACGTCAGGCGTCGAGGGCCAGTTGATATCGAGGATGATCGGGAGGCAAGCAGCAGACCGGGAGCAAGCGCCGCGAGTTCATGCGATTCGAACACTGTCGGTGCTTCTGACATCAGGTTAAGGCTTGCGATTCGGACCCATCGGACCCGAAAGCTTGTAGACGTTTACTGCGGCAATCCACACTGATAAGCACACCTAGAAACCTGGGGGTATTCCTTGCAAAAGATTTTCTGCCTCAAGTCCTTCCTCGAGGGTCGCTTGGCCACAAGCCAGGCCGCCAAGATGCGACATAGTTTCCGATCCCATCCAATGTCATTCCATTCCGCCCTTGATTCATTCAGTGCAGTGAGTGCATTGGGTCTGGGGAAATAAGTAGGCAGGCACGTACTTACCCCGCTCCTTCAGACGCCTATTGGTTGATTGACGCGACACGCAGACTTTGTATCGCCTCTCGGGGACCCCCCCTCCAGGTCCTCCGTTAAGTCCTCGGTGTTCCCCTGCGCCCCAACTCGGCGTCGATGTCCCTGAAGCACGTACAGACTAGCATTATCCCAGCTCGGAGGTGCATGTATCGCTAATTACGGCCGAGAGCGATTGGCGTGTGGCTGGACAGGTACTGGAGAAGCTTCTCGGTGACAAGCTCGTCGGGAAGTCGGTCGAATACACTAGGAACAGGCATGCTCAAGACCTTGGTGCGTGAGGACGCAGTCGATGCTCGGTGGTTGGCTGTGACCCTTCATGCTCAGGAATGTGGCTCAAACAGGTTGAGAAGGATTACTTACAGTTTTCGGCTTCAGCGGTAAGACTGGGCGTCTGAGGCCTCGCTATTGTATAGCAGTCTTGAGGCTTTGATATTGGATATGATGATATGGCGAAATTTGGGTGTTTTGTGGTTTACAGTCTTTGGTCGCAGAGAATCAGGAGTGTGGCTCAGAAAGAGTTCTCAGCCGGATGGCTTACGGTTGTCGGTTATGGTGGTATAGCGTGGACGGTAGCGCTATCTCTTTCTATTTCCGGTGCGTCAAGTGAAGCAACGGTCTATGCCAGAGATATGGTGTGGAAGATATCTAAGGTGGTTACATTCAGCGCGTTGTGGCGGCTTAAAATTCTGCGTCACCAAGCAAAGCCAAATACGAGTGTGGCCATCTGTTTCTTTCATCCTAGGGTACATGCAATCTTCATGGCTCATGTCGCATTCTTATCTAAGAGCATTCACGCTTCTTCGGTGCTAGCGGTTACCATTGCGGCAGCATCTGTCTTCATCCCTTGTGAGATATCCTCCGTGTCAGCACCAAGCTGAGAGCCACGCTTCCAACTGTCGGCCACATAGGGCATAGTCACGCTATAGGACGCAATTCCAGCCGCTCAAATCTACAAGATAATCATTGCTACAATTCACGAGTTTCCTCCAGAACGTGTACGATGAAATCTTAGTTCACCTGTCCACTCATCGATAGCGGGTACAAAAACAGACCTTTCAAGCGACAGTTCTTTCGGGAAGATTCAATAGTCTTGCATTAACTATGGGATGTTGTCTCAAGTTACCACCTGGAACGTGAGCCTCTTTAAAGCCAGGGATTACAGCGGATGGACCACCATGGTAACACCGATGTTGCGCGTGCCATTCAACCCTATACCTGTGTGTAGCACTGCTCAATGTATCAGAGTTATTCATGGTGCCTGATAGGTGGTAGGGGTCTGATATTCCAGACGTCGCAGGTCACCTTATTCTCCACTGCCCTTGATAGACAGTGTTGTATGGCATGATTCATCCAGGGCTGTCATTTTGGGTAGCTGTGATTCACGGGTGAGTGCAGTCCGGAATCTATATTCAAGCTTCTTCTTCTCAGTTAAACGTCGTACGTGTACTAGTATACTGTAGCGCGTCGGTGGCTTCGGGATCTCCGAGACCAAATACAGCCAAAGCTACCATTGCCACACACGCGCCCGGATGATGCCGTTCCGCGGCGGAAGAAAGGGAGGAGACGCTCTCCCAGTATCTCCTCCATCTCTCCCATCGTGTTAACCGTCTCCCTTAAGTCCTGGGCTTATCAAGTCTTCCGAAGACCTTGAAGAGGAGCCTTTCATGCTCTCCGTCTGTTAGGTAGTCTCTGATCGACCTGCTTGCCTGCTTTATCTCGTCCTTCGTTGTGCGGTATTCGCTGTCTCGACTGTTGCTACAACCAAACCAGCTCTCCCGGTCGAATACTGCTCCTGGAGGAATGGATGCGTCCGTGGCGACTGGAATCCCCCTTGGAGACACAGCGACGAAATACAACTGGGTGCAGAACCTATGGAAATCCGTACGCTATAGTTCGTCAAATCGCCGCCTACGACCTCTAGTCTAGAAGGAAAACAAGTCGTGAAGAAGTGCCCTCTCCCGTACGACATATCCAGGCTGTTAGTTCTTGCTGACCGACCTTGATTGTGGTGTATCGACACATACTACGAAGGTATGACGCTTGCAGCGCTAGGGGGCTGTTCCTTCACCTTGGTGTAGCTTGCGTAGAGGGTGTATTGGGAAATGGATACAGTTGTGAAAGAATGTGATGAACGATATTCCCTATTTATTCGAAGCTGCATGAACGAGAATTCCGCATGGTGCAGACTTGGTGTCACGAGCAGGGAATGAAATAGGGCAACAATTTTCACCAACTTCTTTCATCATGGACTCAAATAATGCTTGTGTGGACCTATGAGTATGTTGTCAATGATCAAGAGCTAGCGTCCTCACTGAAGCTGCTGCAATCCTAAAGGATTCAAGTCTCGCAAACATATTCTTTCACTCACAATACTAACCCTGCTCCAATCCCTGAGTGGCCCTCACTTCTTCGCAAAGGATTAGTCGACTTAGGTAAGATTTCCACTTTGTACATCCCCGATATTATACTAATCTGCGCCTCAGGATTCGCCGTCAATGACGACAATCTGCACATACATCCAATTCTTTATTCCCTTCCTCTCTCCGCCCCTGCCTTGTAATAGGTCGACTCAATATCCTCCCCCCCCTGGGTACTCAAGCTGTCCCGAAACATCACTTGTCCCGAGTGACCTCTTTTATCAAGGCCTTCAAGTCAGCAATATCACTGTCATAAATCTTGCGAACCTTGCGAAGGGTAAGAATGTTAATTTGTTCTGCGTCATCGCGACACTTTAACGATCTTAACAGATCGTTGATGAATCCTCTCCCGGTTTTCGAGCGTCCCCTCTTCTTCGGTGGACGGAACCAGACGGACTCCAGGGTTAGTGATTCAAGGCGAGGGAAAAGCGGGTGGTAGGCTTCCTCGCCCTTATCACGGTACGCAAGCCCCAATGGCAGGGTTTTCGAGCCTTGCCCTTCCACACGCAGCGTACGGACCTTGGGCATATGTTTGAAAATCGCATACCACGCTCCCTCCGCACCGTCCGCGTATCCATCTCCCTTCCGGATGAACAGGTCCTCCACCAGCTGGAAGGAGGGAGCGACGTGTGTTGCTAGTGAGCGCAGCAGGGCTGCTTGGGCTCGGATCCCCTTGAATTCTAGATCGATCCCACGAAGTTGTCCCTCTCCGTTGCCCAGGGTAATGTATACATTGTGTCGTGTCCGCCCCAAGAGTTGGAACTCGGCGATCGGTAATGGTTCGTTCTCGGCTATCTGGTTCAGGTGAGGCGTCACGGATTCCAAGATAGAAGGTACATCTTCGTCCATCGCGCTGACTTCGAAGTTTGCATGCTGTAACAACGGTGCATCCAAGAAGGTGAGGAAGCGGGCGTCCTCGGCTTGGGTAATCCCCGCCGCGATCGATGCTAGTTTCGGCAGCTTCACCGGGGAGGGCTTTAACACGTCGTCCGGCTTCATGGGTATCTGGACTTCCAGGTGGCGTAAGCCTGGCGTACCCGATAGCATTAGGACCAAGGCCTCCGTCTCGAGCTTCTTCATCGCTCTCTGTCCATTATGCATGAGGATGCATAAACTTTCTAATCTCTCCAGGCATCGCGAGAGGTTATACCTCACGAGGCGAAAGATTGTCCCGAGCTCTCCGATGCGATGGAAGCGGATTTTTAGCGCTTCTCGTGAACCGTCCATAAAGGTGATGCATAGGATGTTCAGTTCGTCGACTATGAGTCGGGCTACAGGCATTGTCGTTTTCCAGGGTATTTCATCTAACAGACTGCCAATCGACCGCATGATCCATCCTGCATCGTCGGGAGGGGCCAGGATCTCAACACAAGCTCCCCGGAGATTTCGTACATAGAGGATAGGTCGGGCCTTCGCAAGCTCCTTCGTCCCGATGACGAGAGACAAGAAATTCAGAGAGGGGAGTTTGACACCTTCCTCATAGCGCGCATTTTCCCCAAACAACCTTGAGTCAATATATAGCCGTTGAAGGCTTTTCATGGAAGCGAGAGCGCATGGCATGATTGAGTTGTGTGTCTCGTATCGTCCCCGTGTCCAGTATGGTCTGTCTGTGAACCTCATCCCCTGAAGTTTCAACACTTCAACTCTCTTGGTCATCAAAGTATTGGCCTCTCGGTCAGTAAAGCCCTTCAGTTCTACCGTCCTCAGGGTAGGTGTCTTGAAGATGCCAAGAAGATCCTCTTCTCGGGTTTCAGGATCTTGGTGTGTGCCGTTTGTTGTCTCCAGGATGACATTCTTCAGCACGGAGACCTCAGTGTAACGATCCGCATCCCACTGTGCCAATACCATTCTTGAGGTGACCAAATCCAGGCTCCGGATCCGTGCTCTGTACTGGAGAAGAAGGTCGAGCCGCGATAGGTTCTCCTCCTCCTCTACATTGATTAGGCGTCCGCGGACGTCGAGCAGTTCATCCCCACTCCGCATGATGGCACGTCCCATGGCACCGGAGTGCGTGATGGTCACGTTCTTCCAGAAGGTCTTTAACCCGAGGACGAAGGACTTCCATTCGTTACATACGAGCATGAGGCGGGTGAGCTCGTCGTAGGGGTAGGGATCGTGTCTGTTGGCAGGTGCCACAGCCTCCAAGTAGTGCTTGATAATTTCGTGTTGGACGTGGAGAGGAAAATGCTTATCAGAGGACATTGTTTAGAGCAGTGTAAATAATATAGATTTGTATGTTTGTAGTCAGCGGAAGCTTGGAATGGCATTTAATCAGGAGTGTGGTTGGCAAGGGCGGGCGGGGTATAACTCACCAGAACCTCGTCCCCTGAGCTTTACCTTCAACAATATAGACAAAAAGTATTCACGTGTTTTATGTGGATAGATATTGCGTGCTGTTGTAGGATAGTTAAGAGCGTGAACCACATCTTGCGAGGATTGTGGCTCAAGGGGCGGGAGGAAGGTAACTTACAGTGGATCGCGTTACTTCACAGAACTCTTCTTCAATCTTGTGAGATAAGCAAAGTAAACCTCAGAGGCTTTCTGGCAGGTAGTTCGCCGTTGGAAGATGAAGTGTGGTTGAAGGAGTGGCGACGAGGACTTGTTGATCAAGCAGCTGCTATTTGCTCGTATTTGCCGTGTAAACTCCCACGCCACCCTTTCCCCCGCGTACTCGGGTGTAACCTATGTGGACTAAAGGTAGTACGAAACAGTACTTGTACACATAGGGTTTAAGACCCAGCAGCACGGACTCTGAGATACGGAAGATGGATAATTTGCGGTCGTAGGAAGATACGTATCCACGGGTATCATCCCATCCCATCTGTAGGACCACTAGTACTACAGGCGCAACGGATGTATGTAATCAAAAATCGCTACAAGACTACGGTCGGAGAGCCTCAATGGTCCTTAGAACTACGGGAGGGGCGAGGGAAGGCGCTCTTGATATGGTACCTATTCAGCTATACCGACCAGTGCTGGCCCAGTGATAATTCAAACCGACGAAACAAATCCCGTCTGCAAGAATATTCCCACTCCCGATATAAATCCAGGGGAGGGTGATAACCTGTGGTCACGTCTCAGCTTGGAACACCAGCGTTTGAGTCGGCGTTTGAGTCGGTAAGTCGTGTAGTCATGATAACGCAGTTTACAGATAGAGAACCTGAACCCATTAGAGCAAGAGCAACCCGGGGCGCAGAAGTGCCACAAAATAACCAGCTTCGAAGGTGGAGACCGTCAGTCAGTACTTTGCCGCGGTCAAATCCACCGCGTGAGCATGGATAGGGTTAATGATCGACTTCACCGCTGGGATGCTGCCAGTAGTATAGTTTCAGCAACTGACGCCCAGGTCAAGACCTGGAATGAGGATAAACGTACATGGTTTATAATGTTTTGACCACAGGCTGAGGGATGTCATAGGTTCACCAACCTCGGGAAGCGAATTTCTTTCCGCCTGATGGTGCAAGAGCTTGCAACGCATATAATTTAGCTCACGTAACGTCGTCATGCAATGCGGATGCTCTGGTGTCCATTAACGAGCACTGGATCAGCGTATACACTAATAATGCATATGTAGAGTGGAGTAGGCGTACAATCAGAGAAATATGGAAGAAGCTCTATTGAATGACGCACCGTATTCACCGAGGAAATATAGTTTCTTCAGATAGACCCCTGCAGACGTCCAGAGGTGAGGAAAACTCATGGAGCCGTTCGGGAAATCCTAAACCGTAAGGGATGTAATATGACGCTGTTTCTATCTGGACGTCTCGTCATTCCTGGGCTGGGCGACACATGGGGGATCAAGTATAGTGAGAAAAGAAAGTACTAAGATTACCCTCCGATGCGGTACTTACTTTGGCTCTTACACTGAACCTTTCCCTCCCTCCTAGTATTAAACAATCATCGAAGTTAGTCCGAGTTCGACTTGAACGTCCGCGGTGCTAACTTGAACCCTTCCTCACGCTACATAAAATTAAACGGTTACAGAGAGTAGTATACAAAGCGCGCTCATTCGGCGCAGCGGTTCTTCCTGCACCAGGACGCGTATATCAGCAGAGCAAAGGGGAGACGGACGCGCAAGTGAAGGGTGCGTTAGGTGGCTGTGCAGTGGAGTTCTTCTTGCGCAAATATCGCGGCCGTACGCCTGCTCTTCCAGCATATCGCTTGCTGCTCGAAGGTGATCGCCCCGGAGGTCTGTCTTACTATTTCTGCCCCACAGAACACGTTTTGTTTTGCAGTACACTTACGGCCTCGCTGAAGAGGATGGCTCCACGTATTAACTCAGGATAAAGAGCCGCCGCACCGCAGACCATGGATGAAGTAACATCAGCGGTGCGGATATTACAAGGTGCTTCTCAACGGGGCGCCCTCTGAACGGTGATGTTGATACAGACTGTTGCTGTACCTTCAACGATTGGCTCGCGCGCAGATGCCGAGACCCCCCTCGTACACGGTGGCACAATGCGCCTTCCTGCACACACGTAAGTTATAAGTGCAAATCGTGACCTAAGCTAGCACAATCTCCCCTCCAGCTGCTAGTCTACCATGGCTCTCTTTGCCCCCGCCCCTCCTCCCAAGACCAAGCTCGGCCGCCTGAGGAACCTCTCCCCGCTCGCGTCCGTCACGGTCTCCCCGCTCTGCCTTGGCGGCATGAGCATCGGCGACAAGTGGGCCGAGTTTGGCTACGGCCAGATGGACAAGGACACCTCGTTTAAGCTCCTCGACACCTTCTTCGACGCCGGCGGGAACTTTATTGACACTGCGAATAATTAGTGAGTCTTCATGTCATGCGTACTGGCATACATACTTAATTCTTCATGATCAGTCAAGACGAGACGTCCGAACAGTTCATCGGCGAGTGGGCTGAGGCGCGCGGGATCCGCGACCAAATTGTCATTGCGACAAAGTACTCAACCATGTATAAGCGCGCCCCCAATGAGAAAATCAAGCAACGTGCGCTCTACGGCGGGAACCACCTCAAGTCCCTCCACACCTCCGTGCACGAGTCGCTGCAGAAGCTCCGCACTTCCTACATTGACATCCTGTACGTTCATTTCTGGGACTACAACACCTCCGTCGAGGAGGTCATGAACGGGCTGCACAACCTCGTGACCCAGGGAAAGGTGCTGTACCTCGGCATCAGCGACGCGCCCGCGTGGGTCGTGAGCAAGGCGAACCAGTATGCTCGCGACCACGGCAAGACGCCGTTCGTTATCTACCAGGGCGCGTGGAACGTCATGCAGCGTGACTTTGAGCGGGACATCATCCCCATGGCGCGCGCGGAGGGGCTCGCGCTCGCGCCGTGGAACGTTCTCGCAGGCGGGCACATCCGGACGGATGAGGAAGAAGAGCGGAGACGGCAGACGGGCGAGAAGGGGCGGACAACCTGGCGCGGTGACTGGGAGCGCAACGAGAAGGAGAAGACCGTGTGCAAGGCGCTCGAGAAGGTCGCCGCCGAGGTCGGCACCCAGCACATCCAGGCCGGTGAGGGTTTACTAAGTTCGCTTGTTTCAAGGGCGTGCGGCTGACGAGAAACCTGAAGTGGCGATCGCGTACCTGCTGCAGAAGACGCCGTACGTGTTCCCGCTTATTGGGGGGCGCAAAGTCGAGCACCTCGAGGCGAATATTGAGGCGCTGAATATTGCCCTCACGCCCGAGCAGATCGCGTATATCGAGGGTGTCGTGCCCTTCGATCTCGGGTTCCCGCACAACATCATTGTGAGCTATTCCCCTCTTCTCTTTGCAGTATCATTCGATGTTAACCTCTGGCTTTTCTTAGGGCACGGGTGTGACCAACATGCCCGCTATGATCATCGCCGGCCACTTCGACCGCGTCGCCATCCCGCAGGCTATCCGTCCCCAGACTCAGTGAGCGCCGAGGTGTTTGTTATGTACGACTGCGAGATATCTTATTGATTGCGCCTTTCTGCTTTGTTTTACGCGATGTGCTACTACATTGGGATAATGAATATTCATTGCATCATTATGTCGACTTGTCTCACCGACCATCAGGGCTGCGAAGCCTGCATCGCCTCCTGAGAAGAAGGAAGAGAAACCAGAGGATAAGAAGGACGGTGCTGCTGCTACTTCTGCGCCAAAGGAAGACACGACTGCGGCGAAGGAAGATTCAAAACATGAGACGCAGACGAAGGAGGAACCAAAGTCAACAAAGGCAAAAGCAGAACCCAAATCCACCGAGACGAAGGAGGACACGACCGCGCCGGGTGTAAAGCACGAGCAGACGCAATCATCAACTTCCTCCCGACCGTCAGACTCGCCCTCCGGGAAGAAGAGGTCGAGCGTGCTTTCGCGCGTGAGGAGGAGGGTGTCAGATGTGTTTACAGGGAATGAGAAGAAGGGGGAGGACGGAAAGTGAGCGCGAGCGAGGAGGAAAGGCTTCTACTAGAAAACATTCTTGTTATTTTCTTTCCTCGTCGATCTCCCATATTTTGGACTTGCGGTACATGCTCGCCCGGTCGTATATAGCCGTAGATTATTTATACCCTGCTCGATCCGTCGCATTCCTTTAAATTGGATTTTTCGTCACTCGTTGGTGTCTTGTGTCTGCATTTGTGAACTTCTGCAATAAAAAGCCTGTGCGTCGTCGGATCCTTAGGGCTTTTAAGACGATTGTGGGCCACTACAATTATTCTTGGGTGCAGCTGGAGACTGCAGATCGGAATAATATTGGGTAGTTGGCTTTTGACCTGCTCCACTGGTTATATGGCACTTCACCAGCTCATTTATAGTACATCTCGACGAGCACGAGCTGTAACACATACCGTCTACATCCACGAGTGAAGGCGTCACCAAAGCTCATCAGCGCAGGGAATGTGTGGCGTGGGAGTGAAGCAGGCCAAGCAAGGCCAATTATACGTGATCTCGCTTTCATCGACCAGTCACCCATTGTCGCCCTTCCAACCATAGAATACCTTCCTGACCGCTCAGTCTCTAAAGATTCTGCCGAGCCTATCTACAAGCCTGCGCGACTACTTGCTTTCGCCAACAGCATACTGGTATTGTACAAAAGTTCGCGCTTTCCTGGGTTCTCCAGTCCTGACTACGGTGCCACCGCAGTCTCAAACCAACCACAACTACCAGTTGCAATATCAACCAGATCACTGCGACCAGCAAATATGGCATACAAGCAGACCTTGTCCCTCGATATCCTGCACGAGATCATTCAATACTACTTCGCCGATACCCCCTCTCGCCACACGTCGTCTCTCGCCGACGACGCGACGCGCCTCAAGCTGGTCTGCAAGGACTGGAATAGGATCGTCTCTAAGATACTCCAGAATCCAACCAAGACAGTCCCTCCGATCTCCAAGCTTCCGGTTGAGCTTCACCACAAGATTTTCTCTTACGTGTTGGCTCACGACCCCAACGACCAGTGGGTAGCAGACCGCGAGTGTACCGAGCTCATGTTGGTCTGTCGTAGCTGGCGCGACCTCATTATGGATTGGAGCGCACGTTGGTGCAACGTCCAGCTGAAGAACCCCAATGCAGTGGCCCACGCCCTGAATCGCACCCGGGCAACCGAGCGTAGCGGAGGACTTCCGGTGCCACTGGACATCACGGGAAATTTGTATCGCGGCGTAGCTGGATATATGAGGATGGTGAGGCATATCAGAAAGCACATGGACCACATACGGCGAGTCGACATAAAGGTTTCCAGGAAAGCACTGCGCCAGTGGGTTGTGGCGAACCCGGTGAACCCTGACTTCCCGGCGCCAATCCTTGAGGAGCTCCAGCTGAAGAAGG